TTCATTCAGACAATTATTTGTACAAACATTTTATCCGTAGATTTCGTATCCATTCATTCAGTTGTTGTGTCAATAATTCTCTAATTCTTTACTTTTGAAATACTATTTGCGAACGAATTCTGTATTACTTTTTTAGTTATACAACCCTTATATACAATTTTAATAATTAAAAATTATAAATACTAATACTAGACGACAGTATTGCCATATAAATTAAAGAAATATGATAAACATATTCACCACTTTTATAATTAGTTATACATATCCGTGATTTCAGTTTCTCATTCATTTGAATATAAAGTATTTTCATACAATTCTGACATTTAAATTGTTAAATTCAATTCATTATTTAAATGAAACTTTACTTTTTTACCCTTTTGTATAAAACTATTTAAATATTTTAACTTTTTGTTTGTATTTTCAACGAATATTCTTTTGGGAACATCTATTGAGACGATTCGCGAACAAAACATTTGCCAAAACTAGTATTGAATTAAATTCTGGGAAGAATTTTTTGGGATAAAATTAATGCTTTTGAAACCATTATTTTGTAATTTAAATTACATAATAGTTTTTGGTGTTTATTTTCACTGAATGTATAATATCTGTGCAAACATTCATTGGGAAGTTAACTGACATTTTATTATAGTTGAAATCTTGACTAAAATTTCAAATTACACACAAAATTATGCAAACAATCGGCAGAATAAAAGTGATGATAAATTCAAACCTACATAAACACCAGAATAATACTAAATATATATTATTATATAACAAACGGTATAATATTCTGTATGATATAAAATAAACAAAATGTATTTCTATCCCACAGAATATGTACCAAAAATACATATATATCTTATTATCAAAATGAAAACATGGAGTACTACTGTATATCCATCCTATTATATCATTTATTTATACAATAAATCCGTCGATAAAACCAATAGAAAGCGACAAAGAATATAAAAAAAACTTTTCTTAATATAATATACACAACAGACAAAAAACCTGAAACTAAAATATAAAATAAATTTTGAGAAGACTATCGTCTTGTGTCTAAAAGAGTAGTGAATTGAGAGCATTAAAAAACACTGAAAAAAACTCTGTCTCACTATTTATATCCCATTTATTAGTTCTGGCGATGAATATATAGTTGGCAGCAGAAAGAGGATTGAATTGGTTATCACTGTTGTTAATAAAGGAGAGGATGCCTTTGAGTCGATGCTTTATTTATTCATGCCTACAGATGTTAACTATGTCAACATAAACAAAACTAAAAATGTAAGATAGCATTTTATTTTAAACCCCACTCAATCTTATATTCTTCTTATTCACCATCATCTCTCTTCTCTTCTCACTCACATCTATGCCCTACTCTAACGTCTACTACAGCTCTCTCTCTCTCTCTCTCTCTCTCTCTCTCTCTTCATTTCTTTTTCTCTTTCTATCCCTTTCTAAACGCATATCTCTTGCATTGAAATAAAGCTTTTAAAAATATTTGAGTTACAACTTAAACATACTGTCGATTCCGTTTTGTTTACTGAAATACAATTTTTAAAATACCAGGTTTTGTAGAGTACAGCACAGAAAAAAATCAATACTAAAAACAAAATTAAGCATCTGTGTTTAGTGAGTTAGTATAAGTTTTGTGTCAATAATTTAAACAAATTGTGTGACACAGTAATAATTAGTGTACCATAAACTCAATGGTATATACAGTGTAGTTAATTGGAGGATAATATTTAATTCCGTAAATAATTTATAAGCTCTTTATCCCCGAAAGAATCGCTAAAAACAAGACGGAATCCCATGTTCTACGAGTCTCTCTCTCTCTCTCTCTCTCTCTCTCTCTCTCTAAGACACAAGACGATAGTCTTCGCGAAATTTATTTTATATTTTAGTTTCAGGTTTTTTGTCTGTTGTGTATATTATATTGAGAAAAGTTTTTTTTATATTCTTTGTCGCTTTCTCTCTCTCTCTCTCTCTCTCTCTCTCTACCCTCTCCTGTACTAATTCATGTCTTTAATACATTGACTAACATTTCCTTTTCATTTATTTAAATGTTTCATTTCGTTGTGCAAAACAATTATTTATAGTTTAACGTTTGAATCCCATGTTATTTATATACACTATAACCGACTTTTATATACACACGTAGAGTGACGTGAGCTGTTACGGCGCCCAACCCGACCGCACAGGTATTAATAACCTGGAGTGCGATATCGGCAACCCTTTGACCGGCGGATCTAAAGTAAATACAAATCGCAAACACATATCAAATACATAAACATCACAAAACATTATTTTGTGTCAAAATCAATCAAATCTAAACCATAGCATTAATTTTCGCACCATTTGTTTCTTATGGTAATAACAGTTGGAATTCGTGATAATTATGGAGCCATCGAAGCAGATATCGGCCACATCTCCAGACTATACGTTCATAATCGAAGTGAACAGTACTAATCCGGAACGAGTCAACGATACCGACGATAACAGAGTTATTCTGGGTATTCCTCTTAGGGTTGAAGTCAATCTCACCATTTATGGGTACGGACTAGACATGTATTACACATACAACACATACAACCGGTCCCTTTGTATTCACACTTCTTTCCTCTTTATTCTTTACACTTATTCCTGTCTCTTATTGTCTGTGATATCCATCAAAAACACTGTCTTTTCCTCTTTATAAATATCTTTTTTTGGTCCCTCTTTTTATTGATTTTGTTTTCGCTTTTATTTATTACTTTAAATATTGTTTTTCCTTTTGGTTTCCTTTTATTCCATCCCTGACTCGACTCATAAGCAAATTTTGTTTCTGCTTTCACTTTTCTCTATCCATTTGTTACATAATATATCGTTAAATTACTATCAAAATGTGAATTCAATGCGATTCTCATGTATTGTTTGTCTGTCTCTGTTTGTGTCTGCCATCACATCCACACAAACCCATCGCACGATATAATAAACCACCAGAGCTTCAGAGCCAGACGTGCTGTCATTCAACGCTTCGGCGGAAACTTTTGTTACACCGAAACAAGTGTTGGAAGACATCGGCCGAGAGATTACCCATTCGTATACATTGCAAAACAGAGGCCCCTCTCTCATCAAGAGAGCCGATGTGACCATTTTGTGGCCGACACGGGATTTAAGGGGCAATTATTTACTCTATTTAGTCGATCAGCCAATCGTTAGGAGCAAACCCAACAAAGGCTTCTGCAAAAGCATTACTCTCGACGACTTAAATCCATTAGGACTTAGAGTATGTGTCCATTACTTATCCGTTATAACACATGCGACCAAAACTTTTATTATAGTTTATCGCTATTTTTCTCCAATAAAATTGAGGAAAAACTTCTTATTTTTAATTTTCCGCATCATTTCGTGAAAAACAATTATATCTAAAACTTTGATTTCTATATTTGTTGTTTGGTTTGCAGTCAAAAATCTCAACCGACAAATCTCGACTGCCATACGATTCCCTGCCCTCCACTCAGGACCACAACACACCATATATACGACAATACGATAATAGGAAGGATATTATCAGCTCAAGACATACAAGAGATACGACCAACAAGTTTCAGCCACTGGCGGCCAAAAAGCATCGGATCAGCGATCCGTTAACCATAGAACAGGCAAAAGTATGTCAAATAATCATTGCACTCAACACATCCATCTATTATTAGCCCATTAGTCTCTCTCATACGCCCAAACTTTTTACTATTATATTTAACATACTCTTTATGTTGCGGTAAATCATAGTAATTGCCGTTTCAATCGACAACAAAACACTTTACAACAAATAACAAATAGTCTATAAATAACAGCAAAACATTTGCAAAACAATAAGCGATTCAGTAATTAATTAATTACAAAACATTTTTTTCTTCTTCTTCCTCTCTATGGTGTTGTTGTGGATGCAGTCGTGCGGCACAACTAATTGCACAAAAATCATATGCACTGTCTATGAATTGGATACAAACGATACGGTGTTATTCACCATCAGATCCCGATTCTGGAAGGAGAACATAGAGCTCATCAATTTAGAGGAGTTCCAGATCTCATCCAAATTAGTGGCTTTAGTGACATCATTGCCATACGATGTCGACCACAGTCTTATACTGCCATACGTACAGACCGTGTCCACCAAATTCTACGTGACCGGACTCGACAAGACTGAACCCATTCCACTCTGGATTATCATATTAGCCATTGTTGTCGGACTCATTATTCTGGGCGGACTCGCTCTGGCGCTCTGGAAGCTGGGCTTCTTTAAGCGCCGGCGACCCCCAAGCGATAGCGCCGACAGAGAGCCCCTCCAGTCCCGCAACGGCTATCACTACAGCAAAGGCGACACTTCTTTATAATGACAGAGAGTTATTAATTTAATCATAATTTTTTTTGTAAAATTTATTGTTTTTCTCTCTCAATATCTCTGTTTCTTTCGGGTTGTGTCCGAAAAAAACGCAAAATTCTTTATTTAATTAATTAATTGAATTGATTTTTTCACTCGTTTTCACACATTCTCCTAAAAAAATACTTATCACACAAACGACTGAATTGATTGATGCATTTATAGCAAAAATAATATAAGTAAAAAATCATAACACATAATGTATTATCGATACAGTTATTCAATTCAACGCTCAATTCATTTTGATTGAATGGACTAAACGTTTTTGGTTTTTCTGTGAATTGAATTGAGATTCTGTAACCATTTTCTCACTCTCTTGAGAAATGAATGGCAAAAAAAATTAATTTCATTATTATTATTATAAATAACGACAAATAAGTGATGAAGACATCGATTGGGAGCACAAGTCTAATGATATCGCCGACGATTGTATGCGAAGAATACCATTAGATTTCGGCCATTAATATAAGGGAACGACAAAAAAGAAATACTTAATCCGATTGTGAAAATCAACAAAAGAAATGAAATAATAAAAACTTACGAAAAATAATACTTAAAATATAGGCTTTTCTTTCGTATAAATTGTCTGCCGATGAAAATGATAAATAATATCAAGAATTTCTATGCAATTATTTCACACATATTTGCCAACAAAATAGAAATCACAAAAAATTATTAAAAATATTTTTGTTTTTTGTTGAAAACACAATAACAATAGCAATAATAATAATTCTTTCATGACTTCTAACACACGTTTTAGAGAAAGAAGAAGAAGAAGAAAGAGAAAAAGTGATGGAAAAGACAATTTTATTATTGTTTTCTATATGTGTTTCGTTTGTCACTCATTCACAAGTGATGAGCAGTTTTTTCTCTCTCATACTCTTCTCTATCTCTTCGCTGTTAATGTTTTTCTCCTGACATTCAATCTCTTTATTAACAATACGTGAGAATAATATTAATTCAAATAACGTGTCGTTTAGATATATAATATATAATATTCTTTGTTTGCAGTGAAAAAGGGATTTTAAAAACCTTTGATATAAACATAAATTATATTTTACGACATATAAAAAACTCGCAGAGAATTTATAGGAAAGAAGTTTTTATATATAAGATTATATCTTATTTTATCGATTAGTTTTAAAATAACATCTAATGTATTGTTAAGATATATATGAAGGTATCGACTGATGAATATCAACAGTTTTATATCAAGTGATGAGAAGATATTATAATCAATTATCATATAAATTAATAATATATGTCTGTTGTGGACAACCATTTTGCCATTTTATTAGTTCCAGTCATCTGAAGACAAACACACAACTAATCTAATAGTTTTTTTTTGTAAATTTAATCTATTGTATGATTTGCTAAACAAATTATATTTAATTTAATTAACATTACTTTTGAGTCATTTTAATTTTAAAGGCTTTTTTGATTATTTACTAAAAAACTCTTTAAAAAACAACTAAACTATTAATTAAAGAGAAAACTTAAAAACAATTGTATAATAAAAAATAAAATAAAATAATTTTATTAATGAAAAACACGTTACGATTTTTTCATCACAAAAGAGTACAACAAAAAAGTTATTAAAAATGACTTATTATTTGTGAAGTTAATTACAAAAACTCAAAATATATACAAAACTTTGTGCTGAAAATTCGTTCATTTGGGAAATGAATGGAAATATACTTTAATTGATTAGTTAGCGGAAGAATCGGTAAATTATTGCACGAGAGATCTTTGGGCCCATTATATCATTAGTACAGTTAATGGATCGCATAATTTGGTCATACATTTGTACCGTATAAGAAATATATGTGTATTTTATTTACAATAAACACTTTTAACTCAACATTTGCTTAAACACTGATATTAGACGATAGCTTAGAGTTGGCGTCCAATGACATACACTTACACTCACATCCGGCGACCGGACAATTGATATGCTCTGTAAACCATTGGATCAAATGGGAGGCGTGGCCGCCGTGCCTACACGTCTGGCACCACGTGAACCACGAGTTGAATTGACTTAACTTGCGTTCGCTTTTATTGAACGAGAGTCCGGGCCTCCAGTACTGACCGCCGGGTGTACCCAAATGTGTCAAACATAGGGCGCATCGCGGCAACGGTTTCCTACACGTGGGACAGCTCTGGATGCGGTTCTTGTTGGGATGGGGAGCGGAACTACGGTTGTGCTGATGGTGGGAGAGCTGGTGCTGATACGTCTCCTGCGCTTTCACGCCTTTGGCGCGACTGATGTACGAACTGATGGGAACGCCGCAGTAATTGCACGACACGAACACGTGTTGTTTCGGTTCCTTCAAGTGATACAACGCTTTATACCATTCGATGTCGAACTGGGCTCTGATGTTCCACAGACGCCAACAGTCCAACAGTTGCCGATAGCTCTCAATCCATGTCTTAGCTCTGGGCGTCTCGCAGACAGGACTCGGCAGCGCTCGCAACAGAATTAAGCTAATGGTCTGCACATCACTCGTCAGTTCGATATATCGGGCGAACAGTTCCAGTCCTTCGTTAGTGATTCCCGTCAATAGTATTCCTCTTAAGTTTCCGCTTTCAGTCAGCGCTCGGTTTAAATAATTTAAATATTCGCACAACTGTTGCATACAATCGACACAGAAATGCAATTAATGTCATAATTAAACAAAATAATTAAATTCAAGACATACGAGAGGGTCAGACAGGTATATACAGGCGAATGCTATCCTATCGGCGATATCCAGTTTATTGTCGTACTGTTAGAATGGGTTAAAAATGAAAATGCATTAAAATTGTGTATCAATAGTTGTGGTATCCGTTAAATCACTCACTAATATCTCGGAATAGGTCTCGGAATCGGTGGTCAAGAAAGTAAATATAGCCCTCAGATAGTGGTCCGAGAGTTG